TTGACAGAAGTGACATGCGTCTGAAAGTGAAGCCTGCTCGATCCCTTTTTATTTTTACATAATGAGATAATGAGCAAATGCGTGAAATTTAAAGGTCTGCTGGGATTAGTTCTTCGTCCCACATCCGAACTAAAAGATATCAAATTGCCTTGTCTAACTTTTCACCACCATATTTGAGCATCCCACCCGGTAGATTGTCAGACCCGACCGCCTTATTGTTCTTTTTTTTATAGGAAAGAGAAAACGATCATGCGGCTCACCTTATGTTAAGTGCCTACCACCGCCCATGAACAACTGCAACACCAGGGTGGCAGCAGATGCGTTTTGTTTTATTTTTATTTTGCTGCGACTTTATAGCTGTAACAACTTTCTCTAAAGTAGGCTCATCCTGAATATCGGCACGTGGATTATCAGACAGCTACTGTATGCAATCTAGATCAGCTGAAGCAGCAGATTAAAGTGTTCTGTCCATTTTTTAGTGTGCCTGCTTTATCAGTAATAATAGAGCCAACTATAGAACTCAGGGAGAAATTTACTTTACAAATTCCGATAAGTTCGCGTATTTCAGCAAAAATGCCCTAACCTGATTTGTATCAGAGAGCTATTTATTCAGCAAATTTTACGCTGCCGCCATTTCTCTTTAAGTGAACGGGTTAATTTTCTTAGCTGAGCTGCACTCCCTTTGATGTTTTCGGATATATTTAGCTAGTTGGTGTTATATTTTTGTAGCAGGTTTTGTATGTTTGGTGATGGCTTCCGTAAGAAATTCACCGTTTTCGTCAAATCAATCTTAATGAACGCGCGGCATTACCCTAATGGTTTCAGATGCTGTGGTAAGAACAGAAGTCTGCAAGGTTTGCCATTACCTGCTATATCTATCACCTTCCTCTAAGTTAAAAGTGTGAATAATTCATATATTGAAATTTTATTGACTCCAGTTTATGAAGATTTTATTAAATTGGTTCAAATCTGCTAGGTCTATGGCGTGTATGAAATCGGATTTTTAGTTGGGTAACAAGCTTGTGGTCTGACCAACAATGTGCACCGCGCATTACCCGAATCACTGTAAGTTATATAAGTTATATGCCTCACTGGCGTACTACGGCCGTCTACCAAATTAATGCAATGCTTTGACCTCGGGTGCAGGTCGTCTTGTATTTTGCGGGAAGACTGAAAATGGTGTTGGTAATGGCAAGATCAAATTGTGCACATTAGCTGGCCAGTAGTTACACATTCTTGTTCATGTTACCAACTCCGTGCTTACACAATACCCAAGGTCAAGCCTTCAAATCCCTCCCAACACAGGCATTAAAGTCACCCAACGCTACGGGGTGATCCAAAAGTAATGATAATCGGTTACTGCAGGTCCGCATAAAAATCCAAAAAAAATATATTTTGCTTGCTTATATACTCACTACGTTAGCCTAAAAAAATCATATAAATAGATCACGATTTCCGGGATATACATTCATTTGAATACGAACTGTCAAAGAGATAACATCAACATTGAGAAAAACGAAATTAGAGCTGTCATCAAGTACCTCTGTTTGAAAAAAATGTCTTCAAAAGACATACACAGTGACTTAGTGAAAACATTGGGGGACTCTGCTCCTCTATATTCTACAGTTGCACGCTGGGCCAAGGAGTTTAAACTGGGCAAAACATCCACTGAAGATGAACGTTGCGAAGGACGCCCATGCACGTCCTTCACTGAAGACAACGTGAAAAAAGTCGAAGATGTTGTGTTGGCAGATCGAAGAGTGACCAAGAGTGGCATGTAGCTGAGGTCACAGGGATCTCATATGGCAGCGTTCAAAGAATCCTTGCAAACGAGTTGCATATGAAAAAGGTACCTCTGCGCGTTGGGTACCCAGAATGTTAACCGACGAGCAAAATAAAAATCGAGTTGACATTTCGAGGGTCCATCTCGAAAAGTTCCAAGCAGATCAAGAAAATTTTTTGTTCCGTTTTGTGACTATGGACGAGACCTGGACCCACCATTTTGATCCTGAAACGAAACAACAATCGATGGCTTGGAAGCGAGCCTCCTCACCGACGCTAAAGAAATTCAAAGTTTCAAGTTCGACGGGAAAGGTCATGGCATCTGTTTTTTGGGACGCTCAAGGCATAATTATGGTGGAATATTTGGAAAAGGGAGCCACTATTACGGGCTCTTATTACGCAGACCAAATAAGAAGATTACGGGAGGCCATTAAGGAAAAAAGATGCGGTAAACTGCGAGCTGGAGTGCTGTTTCACCAAGACAACGCACCGGCTCACAAAGCCGCAGTTGCGATGGCTGCCATTCAAGAAACGGGATTCAAATTGCTCGAACACCCTCCCTATTCGCCAGATCTAGCTCTTAGTGATTTCTACCTCTTTGCTCGGCTCAAGGAACGCCTCCGACGCAAGAAATTCGAAGACGATAGCGAAGTAATGGCCGCTGTTGAAGCGTTTTGGGAGGGTCAAGACAAAGAATTTTTTTAAAGGGAATCCTGGGCTTAGAAAAAAGATGGACTAAATGTATTGAGTTGTTAGGAGACTATGTAGAAAAATAAATTATTATTTTAACTTTAATTACCGTGTTTTATTTTCATTATCATTACTTTTGGATCACCCCCCCGTACATAGGAAATTTACTCGCAAAATGTATCTTTTATGTCGTCACTTTTGTTAAGCGCTTACTATGCGATTAACACTGACTAGGCGCCATATTGTGACGTCATAGCTGTTAAACCAGTTAGGTAGGGTGAGCAAAACAAATATTTTTTAAATAATATAATTTATTTACAAAATAACCATGAACGAAAAAGTACTAAACTGAATCTAGCATTACAATTTCGCTCATCTCTGCATTACTGTCTAAGTAGTCATCGTTGTCATCATTATCATCCCTGCTGCTTTCCCTTATAAAAATAGAACTTGGATTTATGAAGGTAGTTTAAAATATTGGTGTAAAAAATTTGGCGCTTGGACTTCTAACTAAAAAGTCGTGATCAATGGTAAAGGTTCCTCCAGATCGGTAGTATCAATGGGCGTTCCTCGGGGCTCGATTCTTGGCCCATTCCTGTTTTTAATCTATATTAATGACTTACCTTATCTTGTAGGGGATAATCACGATATAGTATTATTTGCTGACGATACCTCTTTAATTTTCAAACTCAAACGGCAGTCAATTAATTATGACGATGTAAATAATGCTCTATCGAAATTAGTACCTTGGTTTAACGCTAAAAATTTGCTCTTAAACGGCAATAAGACAAAATGTATTAAATTTACAATACCTAATGTAAAACATTCGAATACCAATATGCTGTTAAATGGGGAGGAGTTGAGTCTTGTGGTTACCACTGTTTTTCTCGGTATTACTATTGACGCGCATCTTCACTGGGGCCCCCATATATGTAAATTAGCAAGCAGACTTAGTTCTGCAGCATATGCTGTAAGAAAGATTAGAAGTCTCACAGATGTTGAGACAGCTAGATTAGTGTATTTTAGTTACTTTCATAGCGTAATGTCTTATGGAATTTTGCTATGGGGTCATGCGACTGATATTGAAGCTATATTGTTTTGCAAAAGAGAGCCGTACGGGCGATTTATAACCTAAATTGTAAAGAGAAGAAATATATTAACTTTGGTATCGCAGTATATTTATGAAAATGTAATGTATGTACATAAAACATAAATAGCTTTAGTAAGAATAAAGATGAGCATACTTTAAACACTAGGAACGAACATAAGCTTGTAATGCCAGTTATTAAGACTCCACAGAATCAGTAATTCATTTATGGGGCAATGTATACGCTTTTACAACAAAATCCCAGAACATAATTCAGTTTGTCAATAAACAAGTTTAAAAGTTTTATTAAAGAAAAACTGTGCAAAAAGGGTTATTATAATATCAAGGAATACATGAATGAAAATAAACCCTGGGAATAAGGTGATCGCCACCATGCTGGTTCTATGAAAAATCATTTAAAAATTGTATAAACGAAATTATTGTTTAGTGAAAATATGTTTGAAAAAAAAAGTACCGCTGGGTTTCCTGCTAGTTCTTCCCAGGACAGAGGTATTTTCCGAACCAGTGGTAAATATTTTTTTTTATAGGAGAGGGGGCAAACGAGCATGCAGCTCACCTGATGGTAAATGACTACCGCCGCCCATGAACAACCGCAACACCAGGGGAATTGCAGATGCGTTGCCGGCCTTTAAGAAATAAAAAACGACTTTCAATAAGTATTATGTAATAATCAATATTGAATAAAAATTATTCTATTCTATTCCACTGACTAGTATCAATATTTTAAATTAATTTATAATAATAATTATGAGTTTATTAGATTTGGTAATACTAAGACTCAGTTAAATAAAGCGGAAAATTTTTTTGCAAGCCGTACTTTTCAAGTGACAGTTAGCAAATCGCGGTCATTCGAGGTCATTGACGTTCTATTCCTATTGAATCGCATTGTATGTTCATGTACTTATCATTCACACATACTTCACCGACTTGAATAGAACGTTAAAAGCGTAAGCACTATACGTAAGCGCGTACGCATCTTTCCCGCTTAAGGTTAAAGTAATAAATAAACAAAATACACGATAACGAATCGGATAAGAAGCTCTAACGGAGTTCTTGTTGGTTTCGTATTTTTTATTATTGTTTTGATTTTCCCTTTCTAACAGTATTGTAAAATAAAATATGTACAAATACTGTAACAGTTATTTATTAATCCTCGCAAATTTATCGATAGGACATTATCCCCATTTCTATTTTTCGTTATGTATTTTAAGTAGGCACCTAGACTGAGGCATCGCGTCCAGCTTGTCGTTGAAAAAATATTAAGCACAAACTAGCTTCTTTACTATTGTTTTCTATTTCAAATCTGCCACATTTAATTCGACGTTCTTTTAATCAATTCCTTGAATTTTCGATTGTTTTTAATCGTTTCTCGTCCTTAATTCAACAATTGACTCCCACACTTCTTTTTCGATTCTTTCAGGCATACAGGTTGTTTGGAGCTGATGGGCATGCATTAATTGATCTTCTCCAAAGGTCTTCGGAACCTGCGCCGATTATTGGACAGAAAGTGTTATGTCGACATCCTTTCCAGGAATCCAAAAGAGCTTACGTCATTCCAAGTAAAGTGGAACATCTTTATAAGGTAAATTATTTATCTAAATTTATTTTACTTTATTGAGAGATTGAATTAAATTTGTTTTCTATAATTTTGTAAACACAAACAATATTGTGTATTTCTAATTAGTATGGTGCTTGCACTTTGCACCAGTACATGAGTCCAGACTTTCATACTGGCTGTTTTCTGTAGAGGTCCCATTTTAGGAATCAGGAGATTTTGACGTTCTTAGCAGCTTGAAATAAGTAAACTAAATTAAGTTTTTGACTTTGACCCTAAATTTGTAGTGCTACAAACGAATTTAACATTTATATTTTTATTAATTTTTTATTTTATAGGATAGGGTGACAAACAATCACACAGTCCACTTGATGGTAAGTGGTTGCTGTGACCCATAGACATCCACATCTATCCTCAATAAAGAATCAAAATGCAGATGCGTTGTCACCCGTGAGGACTAAGATGGCATGCCTCTTTTCCAGAAAAAAGGGTCTCCGGTTCTCTACACTCACCATACATCACACACATTTTACGTGGTAGAGCCATGCTGCATATTAATAGTATAGTTGTAGCACGAATGGGTCGGCTCGACCGGGGAAGGACCACGCTCTCACAGAATACCAGCGTAAAATAGCAGCTTAATGCTGCTATGTTTCGTATGGTGAGTGTAGAGAACCGGAGACCCATTTTACTGGAAAAGAGGCATTCCATCTTAGTCCTCAAGGTTGACAACGCATCTGCAATTTAATTCGCAAACGAAGATAGATGCAGATGTCTATGGGCCACAGCAACCATTTACCATCAGGTAGACTGTGTGCTCATTTGTCACCCTAATTCTATAAAAAAAAAACGAAACACAGCAGTGTTAAGCTGCTATTTTACGCTGATATTCCGTGAGAGCGTGGTCCTTCCCGGTGGAGCCGACCTATTCGTGCTACAACTATATTACTAATATAGCTGCAGCATGGCTCTACCACGTACAAAACTTTTTTATAACTACATTACCTAAAATTCTGTTCTATATAATATTTAAGGCCCCCCGCGCACTTGTCGTAGCAGCCAGGCGTATTTTGGTGTTCCGAAACCACAAAATGACTTTCGAGAAATTTATTCGCAAAATTGAAAACCGTGAAGCGATATGGGATATATCTATAGGAGTATCAGTGACCTTGATTGAATTTCTTATATTTTCCAAAAGGTTATCAAATGATTGCACTGACATTCTCGTGTTAAAAACCGGTCTGGGTATTTACGAGTATCTTTGAAAAAGGTATGAAATAAGCCTTTTAAGTGCCATTCTAGAATAAGAGAATGAATTCAATGCCTTCTAGCTTTGCATTTTTTACGAAATACACACAAAATTACAAGTTCTTCATCGTCCATATCCCTCGAAGAAAGGGTCACAACTGGCCGTCCATTGGCTGTTTAGAAGTGGCTGCTCAAATATATTGGCCGCCGCAGCCTGGCTACGCAGCCAGGCTGCGTAGTGCGTGGCAGGCCTAATTATAAAGTAAAATAGGAAGCGTCTGAGAAAAGCTCTCCGTTACTGTTCCTACAGGTATACTGGAGCGATGGGGGCATTTGTATTTCCCCTAAGCCGTTATCTGAAGTGCGAGAACGGGTGCAGTCGTCTCTACGCACGCTCCGGCAAGACATCAAGCGGAACTTGAACCCCACACCATACAAGGTTTGCGCATTTTATGTTGTATGCTGGTTTGAAATTCTAGTTATAAACACTGGCCAGTATTCAGTAACAATCTCGAACTTCACAATGTCAACATTTTTAGGGTTCTGTACCCGAAGGGTAACCAACGTGACCCTATTAAAGACCTACTAAGCCTTCGTTGTCCGTCCGTCTGTCTGTCAGTGGGCTGTATCTCATGATCCGTAACAGGTAGACAGTTGAAATTTTCACAGAACAGACAGAATGTGTGTTTCTATTGCTGCTATAATAACTAATAATAAAAATAAAAATTAAGGGGCTCCTGACTAAGATTGATTGCTTTCTTACCAGCAACAAGTGTTAAAATTAAAAAAAAATTACCACCGACCTCACTATAAGTAAAATGAGAATCATCGTCAATGAAGTCGAAGACAATTAAATACGCATTATTAAGGATAACTCAAAACTAAAAAAATACTTTTTTTCCTCGAAATTTTTCGTTAGCGACTTCTCTTCAACGCATCAACCAATTTTGATGCAGCTTGCAGCAATCGACGGCATTTTTCGAGTTTAAGAACTGATTAGATTTTGGAATTGATCGATACATCTGTTTAAAGGTTATTTCAAAAAAAACAATTTTTTCCAAAATTTTAGAGATTTCTCAAAAGCTACCGGTAAATTGAAAAAATACAGTCGACTTGAGAAATGTCTCTTTTTTTTAAGTCGGTTGAAAAGGGTTAACAGTTCGGGTAACTCAACATGTGAAAGAACATTATGCTGCTAGTTTAAATTATGTTTTTGGTTGTTACTTTAAAGTAACAGTAACAGTAACCTTAACTGTAATACCAAAATATTTTAAATTTTGTGTCGGTTTTCAGGTGGCAGTTAGTGATGATCTTTACAACTTTATCCACGATCTGTGGCTTCAAAATGCACCTATTGGAGAACTATCATGAAGTTTATAGAAGAAAATTTTATGGAGATATTATATTATAGTCGTCGATTCCTTAAAAAAATTATCGCGTTTTTAAGCGCAAAGAATAATAACTAGTTTAATAGTAGTTGGGGCTGTGTTATATTATTTATTCATATTGTGCAAGTTCAAATTGGTAATGTAATTATTATTAAAGTTTATCGTTACTACAATATTTAGCTTGGTATGTTTTAGATAGGATTTGTTGTTTAAGATATGTAAAAGATTTATTAAAATTTTTATTAGAAATTAGTTTTATTAGAAATTAAGAAGTACAACTGCAGTATAAAAATCCTTTGAACAATGTATTTTTTTATTGTTTTCTATTATAGTTTTAGGTTTAACATTCTTTTGTCTTAGTGCTTAGTTATTACAAATTATCGTACAAGACTTTATTAAGTTTAAAAGTTTAATAATAAGCAAAAGTAAATAAAATGTTTATATTGCGCTTAGATTTAGTTTCATCGGTGAGTGCATGTAGTAGTTTTAGTGGCATAAAAATAAATAAATTATTGGCTTGCTTGTCATGGTGAAACGGTTATGCACTTGTCACGTTTATAATTAGGCCACTCTAGTGGTAATTTATATGAAACCAGAGATAAAATAAAAAAGATTTATTTTTTTAGAATTGTCTATTGATTATTTTTAAATCGTGTTTTTAAAATTCATAAACGAGATGACAGCAATTTAAATACCTAGTCAAGTCATAAGTATTGTCACACAGTAAAAACTTTTCTTTTAGAATGGTGGCCACAAAAAAGTTTATTGAATTCGAATTTCGAATTGTTCATGAAAATAAAACTGTATACTTTTTAGAATTTTACTCATTTTTAAATATGGAGTGGACGCTTAAAGAAGACCGTGTTGCAGTTATTGCGTTGCATCGTTGCGGTTACGCGCCAATTCAAATTTTAGACATACTGAAAAATTGGAATATAACCAAAAGATTCGTTTATCGTACCATCAAACGATACAATGAAGACTCTAGTGTAGATGACAAGTCAAGAAGTGGTCGCCCTCAGTCTGTTAGGACTCCAGCAGTGATAAAAGCTGTGAAGGCGCGAATTCTAAGAAATCCCAAACGTAAGCAGAAACTGTTGGCCCTTCAGATGGGGTTAAGCACCACGGTGAAAAGGGTGTTAAATGAAGACTTGGGGCTTCGGGCATATCGAAGAAAAACAGGACATCGTTTAAATGCTCGTCTAATGGATCTGAGACTGAAGAGATGCCGCGCTTTGTTGAAGCGATACGCGGGAAAAAAATATCGGGAAATTATTTTTTCGGATGAAAAAATTTTTACCGTAGAAGAGAGCTACAACAAACAAAATGATAAGGTGTACGCACACAGTAGTGAAGAAGCGAGCAACCGTATTCCGCATGTCCAACGAGGTCATTTTCCATCCTCGCTCATGGTATGGTTGGGAGTTTCTTATTGGGGCTTAACAGAGGTACATTTTTGTGAGAAAAGTGTAAAAACGAATGCATTTGTGTATCAAATACAGTCCTGACGAACCTTTTGGAACCTGTTTCTCATACCATGTTCAATAACAGGCACTGGGTATTCCAACAAGATTCGGCGCCAGCTCATAGAGCGAAGAGCACACAAGACTGGCTGGCGGCGCGTGAAATCGACTTCATCCGGCACGAAGACTGGCCCTCCTCCAGTCCAGATTTGAATCCGTTAGATTACAAGATATGGCAACACTTGGAGGAAGAGGCGTGCTCAAAGCCTCATCCCAATTTGGAGTCACTCAAGACATCCTTGATTAAGGCAGCCGCCGATATTGACATGGACCTCGTTCGTGCTGCGATAGACGACTGGCCGCGCAGATTGAAGGCCTGTATTCAAAATCACGGAGGTCATTTTGAATAAACATTAGTGTCATAAGAATCTGTTTTGTTAAGTTCATTATGGTATATAAATGGTTACATAATGAATAAACTTGTTTCAATTATTTTATATTAAACATGTGACAGAATTTATGACCTGACTAGGTACGTAACAATTGAAGTACTTTATATATTCCATAAATTATATTTATTTTTAGTTATGTGTATCATATAATATATATCGTGTTACCTTTTATATATTATATAATATAAACATCGTCGCTAGTCAAACAAAATTTTAGAAAAAATTGCCTTATTACCAAAGCAGTTGAAAGAAAATATTTTTATGAAAATGTACATTTAATTTAAAATTTTGTACACTAAAAATTTAAGCAATAAAATATAAAACATAGAACTATTTTAAGACTACTTACAAAAATAAACTAACAAATCAGGGCCCAAACGTAGTTATTAAACTATTTCTACAACTATTATGGGAAATACTTTTTTCTTTGTATAATGAGTAATGATGAAGCAGCACAGAATTATGGATAATAATAATTCAGTCGTGTTTAAAATTTTTAAACTTTTGTTCAGCTTTATATTTAACACCATTATTTAAAATTATAATTTCTGTTTCAATCAACTTTGTTTACATATGCAAACAATCTTTAGCAAAAAATAAAAATTAACATTGCAAACTAATGGACACATAACGTTAACATATTGTTGTTTAAAAAAAATTTACCTTGTAATATTTTTTAAGATATTTGAAAAAAGTCTTTACTTTTTTGAAATATTACAGGAAATCTGATAAGAACATACTATAAGTATAGTTATTTATTCAGGAGCATTTTTCATAATTACTTCTAGCTAGGGGTTTGGAAGAAATGTACGGTCAACATAATATGTAAACACACAAGTCTAAATTACGCCTATTTATTGTATTATATATTTAAAAATTAACCTGTTATATCAGATAATTGTTTGGAGCTTCATATTAATTGTCTACCGAATTTATTATTATTATGCCACACGAGAATACTTTTGCATACATCCGCAGTCCCACCAACGCAACGCCAGCCGCCACCTGGCAGCTTCTTTGGGGAGACAGTTTCACTCCCTTTTCTTCTTTTTTGCGCAGGATTATATGCGTTTCGCACTACATAAGTAAATCTATTTTAAGTGGCTACGTTGAAATTACGTGATAAAAAGTACCTAAAATGGTATAATAATAATAAATTTTATTGCCACTAAGTAATGTTTACAATATTTATCCATATGACATTTGAACAAATGATATGAGTTATAACATATACAATTGTATGCACTACCGTCTACACTAGGCCGAGTATGTATCTCAAGCTGAGATTTATAGACCGTAGGTACTTTGACTTTGCTCAGACTTTAGTTACGAAAACTATGCTTAGAATAATCTTTGATTCTGAATTTATAGTTGAATCGGCCTAAGATTAAGCTAAGCATAAGCTAAGGCCCAGACAGTCAACAAATTAATGGATACTTTCAACGTTTCCACGCATTATATTCTTGAGTTTAACCGATTCGTTGCGGCACCAATTTTCGACAACTTTTAGCTGTGGCGGCGAACAAATATTTCACGACACCGGGCGTGTCAAGCGCCACAGACAGGCGCCTATTGTGCCATCCGCCATGTGTAAAAGTAATGTTCTTTTTTATGCTTTCTTTACTTGTTTAGACCTAATTAAGTTTATTTGACATCAAATATAAGTTACACATGGAAGGATACTTGTTTTTAGTGGGTAACTACGTGTTTTTTTACGCGTTTTCTTTGAAATTGAGAGAAAGTGACTTTTTATGAGGAGATTACAAACCTTTTGTACTATTTTTTGTTGTTATAAAAAATCATTTATATAAGTATGTACAGCTAAATCACCCTGGAAACCTTGGTTTTTATTAAATTAAATTTTCACCTAATAATAACATTTGTAAATATCAAACAATGAAGAACCTTAATTTGAAAAAAAAAAGGTATATCATTCATTGATATTTACAAATGTTAAATATTATTTAATGTTATACAAATGTAAAAGTAAAGTCGATCTGAAAACGTCTAATTAGTAAGAATAGCAAAACAAGTGTTTTCAAAAGGAAGAAAACGCCGGCGCTATACAGCGGCGGATTGACAAAAGACTATTTATTAGCGAACTTTTTTTGTGCATGAACGGTTTCGAACTGTTTCTAGCAAAAATAAACCTTATACCATATCACAAGAGCAAATGGTAACTTCGTAGGTCCATTCGGCCATATGATAGTAATAAGACGGCAGCTCAACCATTTTAAGCAAAATTAAACAATAAGACAAACGCATTGTTTTTTTTAACAGGAGACTTGTTTTCCAGAAATTTATTTACAACTTGAGTGTGTAAGCGTTCGCAATGAGTGCTATTATTTGTTACTTATTAGACAATTTTTCCATAACATGATTTAAAACCCACAAAGTAAAAGTAGTACCATGTACACGTTATAAAAAGGTTGTCAACCCCTAAAAATTTCAAATTTTCAAAATATGCAGAAACGAAGCTGCACGCATGAATTACTCGCAAATTAATGAATATTTTGTTGTGGATAAATTTTCCAAAAAAGCAATTTGAGCGAGTTATAACGATTTTTAAAAAGATACGACTCGCGTGTCATACGCCGTCATACGCCACACAAAAGTAATCGATGGCACGCCAGGCGTGTCATCCGCACTGAACCGGTTAATATATAAAATTTAATATTTGAAAATGGAAAACTGTCTATATTGTATTTCATAAATGAGTTATTAGAACGGGAACGGATGAGAAGAGTGCAAAATTAGAAAAAAATGTTTTAAGGAATTCGAAATAAGTTGAAATTACGTTAATAGAAAAGGGATTAATGCTTTTTAAAACTAGGAAGCTGCCTAAAACTACCTATTTATTATTATAAATAATTAGAATAACATAATAACAATAATTTAAAATTAATACGGTGGTTTTGGATAATATTATTAGAAAATTGCCTTATAGGGATATTTGCACTGTTGCCGTTTGATAGGCGGGTGGGTGTGCGAATGCAGTTTTTTTACCTTTTATTAGGAAGTGCAGCATAATTTTTTTTCTTTTGTCGCCACTTACGACAATTCGGGACGAACATGTGGATATTCTTACACCACCGCTATATCGTCAATTTACATCAAAATTACTTTTATTTACAATGGTTTCGGTTAATGAAAGTTTATCGGTTAGTAATCTTCTTACTTTCCCAGTTATTTAATAATTGACAAGATCAAATTATAAAAATATATAGGCCTATTTTTGCAATACAATTTTGAACTTTTATAAAATACTGAGTAAATACAAAAAGCACAATTTGTATGTTTTACTATGTCACAAAAATAACTTTATATCCGCTTGTAATATTAGAAATTAGGGGAAAATATTTGATTAATATAAAATCTCTTTTTACGTGTTTGTTTTATTTAAGTGTGATCCATGAACTTTGTTATGTAAAAAGTATGAAAGTTATATACTCGTCATCATCATCAACACTTGTACACTTTTGAGCATAGGAACAAAACACGATTCTGTACTACTACTACATATTTTTTTTTATAGGAGAGGGGGCAAACGAGCGTGCGGCTCACCTGATGGTAAGTGACTACCGCCGCCCATGAACAGCTGCAACACCAGGGAGGGAATCGCAGATGCGTTGCCGGCCTTTTAAAAAGGAGATTTCTTTTCTTGAAGGTCCCTAAGTCGTATCGGTCCGGAAAAATCGCTGATGGTAATCGATTCCACAAGGAAGTCGTCCGAGGAAGAAAACATCTTCTAAATCGCACAGTAGTGGACCGCCAATCATCCAGATGGTGTGGATGGTATCGGGAGTTCTGCCGCGATGTGAGTTTGTGAAATTTGGAGGCTGGGATTAATCCGAACAATTCCTCAGAGCACTCCCCGTGGTAGATGCGAAAGAAAATGCAAAGGGATGCAACATCTCTTCGCAGTGCCAATGAATCGAGCCGATCGGAAAGGACTCGGTCGTCGACGATTTGAGCCGCTCTGCGCTGGATGCGGTCAAGTGGAAGGAGCTGGCACTGGGGAGTCCCTGCCCAGAGATTGGAACAGTATTCCATGTGAGGCCGAATCTGCGCCTTGTAAAGTTGCAGGCGGTGTGCCGGCATGAAATACTGTCCCACTCTGCTGAGCACGCCAAGCTTTTTAGAGGCCAATTTGGCCTCCTCTTCCAAGTGACCTCGAAACTGCACGTCACTCGATATGTCGACTCCGAGGATTCCGATACTGGCTGAGGCAAGAAGGGGAGTGCCTTGAAACTGAGAAGATACAACAAAGGGGTTCTTTTTAGCGGTAAACGCGCAAACTTGTGCCTTCTGAGGATTAAACTGGCCTAGATTTAGTCGCCCCCAATCCGATACTTTGTTCAGCAAAGACTCGACTTCAGACACAAGTTTGTTCCGGTACTCGGCGACGTTTTATTTTATATTTTCGGCCGGTGTATAAAGCATCACCAGTGCTGTCATCCATATAGCAATTAATGTTACTAGTTTGCAACATATCATTGGTATGCAGAAGAAACAGCGTTGGTGATAGCACACAGCCTTGTGGAACACCAGCGTTAATAGGCTTGTAGTCGGAGCATGCACCGTCTACAACGACCTTGATGCTCCGATCTGCAAGGAAGCTGGTGATCCAATCGCACAATTTCTCGGGAAGCCCATAGGAAGGGAGCTTCGAAAGAAGCGCTTTGTGCCAAACCCGATCGAAGGCCTTCGCAATGTCCAAACTAACGGCCAACGCCTCCACCTTGGACTTTACTGCCTCTGCCCTTCTATGGGTCAGGTAGACCAGATCACCAGCTGATCGACCCCGACGAAAACCGTATTGGCGGTTACTAATCAGCTGGTGATCCTCAAGGTACCGCATGAGTTGGCAGTTAATAATCGATTCCATTATTTTGGAGAACAAGGAGGTGATAGCGATAGGCCTATAGTTGGACGGGTCCGAGCGGTCGCCTTTTTTAGGGATCGGGTGGACAAAAGCTGTCTTCTATGAATTCGGGACTACGCCTTGGGAGTAGGAGAATACGCGTTAGGACCGGTGCCAACTCCGGAGCACACGTCCTCAGCACAATTGGGGGGATTCCGTCAGGCCCACTCGACTTCTGGATGTCTAGGGAGGAGTGCTTTGCGAACAGAGCGATGTGAGAACAGCACATCCGGCATGGAGCACTCATACCGCGGGATGGTCGGCGGTGTTTTCCCCCCGTCATCAAGAGTAGAGTTGGACGCAAAAAGGGAGCCTAAAAGGCCGGCTTTGTCGTTTGCGTCTTGGGCGAGTAAGTCGTCCTCCCTGTACAGAGATGATAGTGATGGCTTACAGAAATTCCCTTGGACAGCCTTGGCGAGAGACCAGAATGCACGGGTTCCCGAAGGAAGGCGAACTAGTTTCTCGCCAATTCTGCCTATGTGCTCTGACTTTGCCTTGGCAATAACTCTTTTGAAGGACCTGGAGGCGAAGTTATACTTCTTTTTAAGTGTGCTGGTGTTTACATCCCGAGTCGTCGAAGCCGCAGCCCAGGCTTGATAACACTCCTGCTTACTGCGTAATGCAGTCTTACAGGAGCGACCAAACCAAGGCTGAGATCTGCCTCCGATGGGTACCACAGATGATGCAATAAATAGTTTCATTCCCTGTAGCACCACATCAGTGACAGAGTCAGCAACAGCACTGGGATCATCCGGCAAGAAGCAAACCCGCCCCCATGGGTAGGATGCAAAGAAAGACCGCATTCCGTCCCAATCCGCCGACCTGTAATGCCAAACACGGCGGCAACCTGCAGAACGCAACCGCGAGGGGAGCGTGAGTGGCACCACACTCCGGATCAGACAATGGTCCGAAGAGCCGAGAGGGGCATCGACGGAAACCTGATATCCGTCCGGATGAGAGATCAGCAGAAGGTCCAACTGGGAAGGTGTATGATCCTCCACATCTGGAATCCGCCTAGGCGAAGTAACCAGTTGTGTCAGACCATATGCCAAGGTAAAGTCATAAGCAGATCTCCCTGCATGATCGGTTAAACGTGAACCGAGCCATTTGGCGTGGTGGGCGTTAAAATCGCCAAGGATCACGATCTCTGCGGATGGGACCTGTTGTAGCAAAGAATCTGTAGCCATTTGGACGTGGTCAATGAGTCGGTCTGTTTCGGCATTATCGCTATGGGACCTATAGAGGCACCCGTAGACGCGCGGATGGTCGTCGCTGTCTACGCGTAGCCATAGGATGGACAGGTCCGAACCTTCAAGACTGCCGAGGCGTCGAGAACAGATGTCTTTTCCGACATACACGCAAACTCCAGCCCGAGGCACAAAGGAGTGCTCCAATTTGTACCCCGGGTAGGAGAGATACGAAATATCAGCCGGAGAGGAAACCTGCGTCTCGGTCAGAAAGAGCAAGGCCGGCTTCGCCGTCTCGAGATGGTAGTGGACGGCGTTTAGGTTCGAGTGAAGTCCCCTGATGTTGCAGAAATTCACGGATAGCGTGGCAGGGGTCGCCTTGGTATTGTTGCTCAGTTTGCCCCGAGCAGTTATGTTTTTGAGCGGAATTTTGCTTCACGTCGGTATTCTGTGAGGTCGTGGTGTACCAACCCAGCTCGAGTCGGGTAATGAGCCTGTATGCTGCATGCATCATCAGATCGTCACTCCACAAAGGTTATTGACCTTTCTTTCTCATCACTTATTATTCACTTCAGGTTATTGATTCTCTTGCAATTATCTTTCTTCTACGAATATCCTTATTTACAGTTTTATTACAACATAGAATGAAACCCCGAGCGTCCGACTTTTGTCATACCGTACTATCTCAATGTTCACGGGCGACGGTATCAGACTCAGATGGTTAAGTTAATTACACAGTTCCATAAGAATCCGACTGGAACTCGTTGATTAGGAACAGTCATCATCAACATCACAAGTCCACTGCTGAACATAGGCCTCCCCAAGGAATGCCACAAAGCATGGCCCTGAGCCACCTGCATCCATCGACTTCCTGCATGTCTTACCAGATCGTCACTCCATCTAGGGGGGGGTCGCCCTAGACTTCGCCTACCGGTACGAGGCTTCTACTCGAGAATCTTTTTTCCCCAACGGTTGTCGGTTCTTCGAGGTATATAGCCGGCCCATTGCCACTTCAGCTTACTAATCCGTTGGGCTATGTCGGTCGCTTTGGTTCTACTGCGAATATTCTCATTTCTATGTTTATCACGCAGAGAAACCCCGAGCATAGATAGCCCTCTCCATAAGAGTGAAGGACCACGTCTTAGATCCATAAGTCATCACTGGCAACACGCACTGGTTGTACAATCGCACAGTGGTGGACCGCTTCCTCAGAGCACTCCACGTGGTACCTAAATGCGAAAGAAAATGCAACGGGATGCAACATCTCTTCGCAGCGCTAATGAATCGGAGTCGATCGGAAAGGACTCGGTCGTCGATGATTCGAGCCGCTCTGCGCTGGATGCGGTCAAGTGGAAGGAGTTGGCACTGGGGAGCCCCAGCCCAGAGATGGGAACAGTATTCCATGTGAGGCCGAACCTGCGCCTTCTAAAGTTGCAGGCGTTGTGCCGACATGAAATACTGTCCCGCTCAGCTGAGCATGCCAAGCTTTTTAGAGGCCAATTTGGCCTTCTCTTCCAAGGCTGAGGCAACAAGGGAAGTGCGTTGAAACAGTAGATACGACAAAGGGGTTCCTTTTAGCGGTAAATGCGCAAACTTGTGTCTTCTAAGGATTAAACTGGACTAGATTTAGTCGCATCCAATCAGACTTTGTTCAGCAAAGACTTGACTTCAGATTCAAGTGTGTTCTGGTACTCGGCGACGTTTTCCCGAGAAATATTGGCACGGCCGGTGTATAGCGCATCACCAATGCTGTCATCCGCATAGCAGTGAATGTTACCAGTTTGCAACATATCATTGATATGCAGAAGAAACAGCGTTGGTGATAGCACGCAGCCCTTGTGGAACACCAGCGTTAATAGGCTTGTAGTCGGAGTATGCACCGTCTACAACGACCTTGATGCTCCGATCTGCAAGGAAGCTGGTGTTCCAATTGCACAATTTCTCGTGAAGCCCATAGGAAGGGAGTTTCGAAAGAAGCGCTTTGTGCCAAACCCGATCGAAGGCCTTCGCAATGTCCAAACTAACGGCCAATGCCTCCCCCTTGGACTCTAGCCTCCGCCCATCAAGGTACCGCATGAGCTGGCAGTTTATAATGGATTCCATTATTTTGGAGAACAAGGGGGTGATGGCGATAAGCCTGTAGTTGGACGGGTCTGAGCGGTCGCCTTTTTTAAGGATTGGGTGGGAAAAAAGCTTTCTTCCATGATTTCGGGACTACGCCTAGGGAGTAGGAGTACCGGAAAAGACGTGTTAGGACCGGTGCCAACTCCGG